TTTGGACTAGACTGTGCTTGGCCTCAGTGGCTCATAGGAGATAGCCATGTGGAGGACTACACAGTCCTTGCTCTTTGGGGAGTAAGTGGTACAAAATGGGCTGGGGAAGAGGTGCAGGGCCATGGCCTGCTTAGTGGGACATACGTCCCTGCACCATGGGACACGCTTACCACAGCCCCAACTCCCACTTTTTGCCCTCCTTAGGAAAGCCTCAGTGTTTTCCCCTCGCAAGCACCTGCCCCATTTGTTAAACAAAACCAACTTTCAGAACCTTGCTCCCACTACTGAAACTAGACCTTGCAGTATACAGGGTCCATAAATCATACACTAATGCCAAGTACCCTAGAAAATACCTGAGCAATGAATTTTAAGACAGTTTAAATATGACCTGTCATTTTATTTCTGTACAATGTTTTCTTCCATTTAATTATTATTGAAGGTGACCTCAGCACCTATTTAAGGAAATGCATATGTAGGCATTTATGGTACCTTTCTCTCAGGCTATGGGACACATACAAAACAGTGGCTTGACAAAGTTAGAATAGTGAGTAAAAGGTATATCATGTACAACTTTGCTATCATCAGCCTGCTTTCTTGGCTGACTTAGCAAGAGGGCTCTTTGGCAGCAAACCCTGCGGCACATCTGAGAGCAGAGGTATCCATCCTACCTAAAATCCAGCAGAGCCAAGGAGTCACATCCCTAGGCATAATGGGCTGCTCATGGGTCATCTCAGACCACATGGATGTTCTGGAGATACTAAGTACAGGTTTTTCACATGTTGGAAAACTATCTGAAACACCTCCTGCCAGGCTGCATAGCTGGTGCATCAGCTGGCATGGAGACCAGGATGCTCAGCTTTGCTTTCCCCTTTGAGGTTTGAAAGATGGCTCCAGTACCTTAGTTTTATACAGGGAGCCAGGGATTTATTCTTCCTGTTTATGCAAATATCTTACTCCCCTCACAGACACTGACACACCAGTGAGCTGCAGAAATAGGAGTACATACTGTAGGTCCCTCTCTCCCCCATCTCAGTTGCTTATTTACCAAACAACCCTTGTTAATCCTCTTTACTGTGTTTGCTTCCCAATTCCCTCCAGTCTTACTGTCTAACTATTATTCAGGTGCTTGAAGATGTTTAAAAAAAGCTTAAGACACAGTCACCTCCAGAGCTGAATAAAATCAATTGAACTCCACTGATTGTTTTTTGAATCCACACTGATTTACACCAGATGAAGGTTTTTTTAGAGCTGCTGGCATTCACGGTGCACTTGACCAAGTCCACAAACCGTGTAATAGTGAAATGATCCAGCTTCCTCTAGCTTGTGCTAGTTTATGAATTGTCCTTGGACCTTCTGCTTCTACTTCTTGGTGACAGTCTTCCAGGGAAAGAAATGGCAGGCTTCTACAGGCAGACACATGGTAAAGAAATACGTGCAGGTATTCCAGATTTTGAACCAGTTATTCGTCTGCTCTTGCCGTGTGTTACAGAAATCGCTAGTTGTGAGATCACTTTCCTTATCCATGAAATGAGCAGAAAAGTCCCACTGCTTACAGTGGGTCTGAGCCCTAGCCAGTGATTAAGCTTGTCCTAGAAATCTACAGATGTCACAGGCTGTGATTGCTGCCGGTGCTAAGTGCCAATCCTTAAATTTTTTTTAAAGTGGCATGGAAAAGTTTCTTAAGAGAAAATTTACATTTTGTAAGAAGAGGAAATACCCCTCTGTCACCAAGACCAGAGAAAATAGCTGTTCCTCCACTGCCAAACTGAGGGTGCTATCACCACATGTGTAACCATGCTGCAGCACAACACAGTATCACCTGCGATCTCCTCTGGTGCTTATCTATGCAGCAGCACACATCTGTACCTGGTGTGCCAGTCATGCAGTGTCCAACACTGCAGACACCAGCATCACATATAGGAAATTTAGAGGTTGCTGTAAGAGCCTTCGAAGAATCGCCCCATATGTGTCTTCCCAAGATTTTAACCTGTCTAGCAGTTCTGAGTATTAAAGCTGATTGACACATTTTGGTATTAGTTCCCTCATGGACCAGAGAGGTCAAATCCATCCACCGGAATGGACTTCAGCATTTCTTATGACCATTTCATATTGGGATAACCTGACTATTTCCAGGGGAGATGCAGGGATGAAGGTAGCAGCATGCTTGCTTGGTTCTGGTAGTTATTTTATACACAGAAACACCAATCCACTAGGTTGTACTTTATCACAAAAAGCCTTAGTGCCTAAAATTGGTCATATGCTGAAGTTTTAGCTTTTACGAGGGAAAACAAACCACCCCAGGAGAAACAGGTTTTATATAGATTGAATAAAAATACAGCTGAGTTATGTTACCTCGAGGACAGTCACTCCCTCTCCTGCTGCTACAGAAAAGCAGAGAGTTTGATTGGGTCTGGCCCTTTGAAACCAGGAAATGAGATTTTAACACAATAGGATTTTTCTTTTTCTTCCTACTTCAAGTTCAATTCTTATGAAAGTGAGGGATTAATACAACAGATCCAACCTTTATGCAAAGAAATCCCTGCTTGCACTTTCCTGCTAAAGTATTTAATTCTTGCTACACCCTACAACCAGATGACTGCTGTTATTTCACTCTTCAGTATCTCTTCAGTGGAGGTGGGAGACAGATTTGTCAGAGATGCTGCAGTGACAGAGGTCCCAATTCCTGGAGGTGTGCAGGAACAAGGGCCCGGGAGGAGGACTGCAGAGGAGAACTGGTGGGATGGGGGTGTGAGAAAGAACGGGGCAGAGCACGGTTGTGGAGCTGGAGGCTTGGAACACACTGGAGGGACTCTTGGCTTCAGCATCACCCAGATTAATCCCTTTACTCTCTCTCTAGCCACCTCTACCTCCCAGCAAAAACTAGAGTGGAGGATTTCTCACACTAGCTAAAGCCAATTCAGCTCAACAATACGTGATAATACTCTGTGTCAAAGGCAGAGATGCTTCTCTTGTGAAAAGCCTTATCTTATTTCCAAGCATTTATCAATAGATATCTTTTACAGTGGATTAAGGAACCTAAACTACTAGGGAATGCTGCCAGGCACTTTAGGGCATCCTTTTAGCAGAGCTGTTTTAGGAAGGACTCATTGATGAAAAGAAATGCTCTAGTTTTCTATAAAAATATAATTAATAAGATCTTATTTTATAGCTGTCCAGCCCACATCTGAGCAGTTTTCAGCTTAGCGTTTCTCAGCAGTATGAATGTCAACAATAAGAAGATCTAAGAGGAATTTTCACTTTTCCCTGAGCCTAATGCCTATTTAAGTGGCTGACTTGTACGTTGATATTCACACTGTTGACAAATAATGGGTGTCTTCATCAAGTATCGGTATTATTCTTCTCTGACATGAAGCATGAGACTGTTATGTGAACTCCCAAAGCCTTTTCAAGGCAGCTCTGAATTTGTATGCTTAAATTTCTTTTCCGTTCCTCCCATCTACCAGCATCACAGCAGATTTGAAGAGCAATTCCTCGCTAGCCACAAGTTGCCCTGGAGAGTTACTGCTCCTGTAGGTGTATTTTGCAGCCTTGGCAGAAATCATTCACAATTTGGCACTAGGCAGACCAATACAATAGCTGTTTTTGAAACTCATACAACTTTCCACATGGAATTGGATCAATCCCCTATGAGCAGCCAATGGTAGATTAGGAACTACAAGTAAGAGATTTTGCACTGTGGTACCAATCCAACTGGACTCCAATCTCAGTCATCCAGAGATGATTTTTTAAAAGTGCAGTTGCTAGAGTGAAAGCTTTCCAACTCCTCAAAACTAATAAGCATTCATTTTAGCTAAACTAGAATAGCAAAGGTACTTATGTAAATTTAGTAAGAAATTAAATACAGGCTTCTGTCTTCTCGTTTGAATTCTCCCTTTTTGATGCTCTTGGATACACCATCCTTCAAATCCTGCATAAATTTTTCAGACAACCACAAAGCATGTGCAATGCTCCACCATTGCAATATCCCTGATAAGGCTCATAAAAAAAATCTTGCGATTACTTTGCACGCAGATAACATTTTTCATGAAAGGTACTTCCATTTCTTTTCCTTTTTTTCCCCCAAAATATCACTCAAAAATCACAAAGTTGAGAAAAACATCATTTAACCCAAACCACAATTCAGATGTCACTGCAGTATATCATGAGTTATAGATTGCATATTGTATTCTCTACTGCAGGCTGGGTGTCCCAGCTGTACTAACAGCTCCTGCCCAAGACTCCCATGGTATAAAACAGTGACACCATGAAGCCACGACTGTGGGGTGTTGTCAGAGCTGTACTGAAAACAACAGAGGAGAAAAGAAACTCCATCCATCTGGGCTACAATTCCCACAAGTTACTTTCTTCTCTAAATCAAGACTGTGGACTTGCAGTTGGAGCCTTCATACAGAAATGTTCAAGTTTTGACTTTTCCCACCAGAAATATGAAATATTACTTAGGTGAAGAAATTATCCCCACTCCCATTTTTCTATGTAACTTTCTAACTACCGGAGGCCTATGCAAGCACATCTATTGCAAAGACAGTGAGCTGAAATCGTTACTACACATCGTGTTGTACATAAGCTTCACACAGGCTTTTATATTAAAAGAGACAAGTTTTGAATTTTATTTGAATACTACCAGAAGTGGATAGCACAGGTTTTCCTACCTCTACACTTGGCCAAGCCAAAGCTATTGACATTCCCCAGCAACCTGCAGCAATTTGACTTTGTGGAAGTTCTTATTAATCTGAACATTGTGGCTCTGTCCCATTTCTAGTTTTTCGCCTCCTCCTGCCCATGACTGTGCATTGAACCTCACCCTTTACATAGGCAGGATACAGTACGTAAAGTGACTTTCCAGTGAAAACACACATTGACTACCGGATGTATTTTGCCTTTAGGATGCCTTTAAACAGAACACGGTGTCAGCCAAGTCTTGGGACAACCTTTGTGGGGCTGCATTGCCCTAAGCATAGTAAAAGCATCTGGAGTCTTACCTTTTTATGGCTTTGTAGCAAATGATGACAACTACGAAGAGGAACACTAGTGTGGCGCAGCATACTGCAATGATAATAACCAGGCCTGGCCACCAGGTCTCTTCAGTGGGACAAAAGGTAGACTTGGGAGCTGTAAAAACAGTGTGGAAAAATACATGAGTTCTCCCAAATGAACAGTGTATAATCAGATACGCTTCAGTCACCCATGCAATAGTACTATGCCACGGCCATAGATACATGCGAAGAGGTTATTTCACATTTAGGACCCATTTTTTTTCCAAGCAATCAACTCCTCTGTTTGATACTAGATATTTCTTGACATGGTCCCCAGATGACCAAGCTCTCTGTGTCAGTGCTGTCCACAACTGGTGCTCAGCACGAAACAGAAAGGCTCAGCTCTGCTACCCATGGGAAACCTCTTCTCCCTCTGCATGTGCCATCTCCTGCTGCATCAGATTTAGAGAGAGATGTTGGGACTTTCAAACCCCATTAGGGGAGGTTTATCAGGAAGCTGCAGCAGTGCCTACCAATCAGTATTGTCAGCCACTATCATTTTAACCTTGGAGCGAGGAAGGGGGATTTGTTTTAAAAGAACAGGAATTTTATTACACTTATTAATTGCTTTTAGAGGACTATAGTTGACAAGCTTCTCTCCTGTTACATTGTCTTTGAATTGTAAGTAAGTCCAATAGTTAAGAAATGTTAACAAGAAGAAATGTTAACTTGTGAAAATACAAGCAAGTATTATTACATTTTTTCTTACTCGATTTAGGGCTAGACTTGTCTATGTAAGTACTGCTCAAAACAAGCAGTATTTTGCATCAGAAGGAATACTGGTAGCATTTAGTTAAAATATTTTCCGTCAGGGCCATATTCCTTTTCCCATGCTTTGAGGGGACACTTGCTTCCTGAAGGGTGGTGAGCAAGAGACAATGCCATGTGCAGTACCAGTGTACTGCAGGGGGGAAGAGACCCTTAACACAGTGTGTGCAACCCCAAAAACTCCATGAGAAACTGGGTCACTTTAAATGAAGTTTAATAATGAATCAGTCAACGGGACTATCTAAATCTACATGTTCAGTTAAGTAGGGGAGAGAATTAAATATAGCAAAAGGCGCTTTTTTTTGGTGAGTCTAATTATTTGATCCGATATATCCTGTGTTCTGAACTTCCTGTTATACACATCACAAATAGCCGCACAAGTTCAAATATGGCATCACACCTGCATCATTTATTGTAATCTGACATCTCCTGTGCCTCTCGTGTTTGATTAGGAAAAGACATACACATACTCTTCGGTTAACCCTCATTAGGTTAAATCCTGAAGTACACAATTACTGAGAGAAGATTTTTTCCAGTTGCATGATCTATAGAAGAACTAGCAACATTCACTCCGAGAAATCTGCAGGAACACCTTAGAAAAAGACTAGGTAAAGAACTGTAAGAAGCAATCAAAATAATAAAGCCAACAGCTTGATAATTTATAGGCAGTTCAGCATTTGGTGCCACATAAGAGGTCCTATCTTTCTCACGTGCATCAGCCTTCAACACATGCTATCAGCATGATCATACTCGTCTAGCAAAAATTGTCTTCAATTTATTGTATATATATTGACTGTGAAGGTGGGGGTTTTTGTGTTTGTTTGGGTTTTTTTTTCCTACGAGAGAGAAAAATAAAGCTGAAAAATCAAGTGATTTGAAGAACAAGTGGTTCCTGGCTCCTGTTTTGACAATGTGTCCACTCCCAGACTATCTCAGCAACTGAATTTCTACTTTATTACTATGTCAGCTGCAGAAGTCAGTTTTCAGTGGGTGATGGAACTATTTATTGTGTTGTGATAAAGCTAATGTTTTTAATATTCTCTGAAAGTTTTCAATATTGTTATTTTCTAAGATTCCAGAACAGAAGGCATTTCAAAGATGACAAAATGTTTGCATGAAGGAGCAGGCAGTGTCAGGGCCAACTCTACGCTCCTGGTGTTGTCCTGAAAAACACAAAAGGTTGCAGTGAAATCAAAGAAAACACATCCATCAGCAGATGCCACGTAAAATTAGATGAGACCATAAAAAAATGGGGCAAGTACATGTATCCTTCGCTAGTCCTTGTTCTTCCTTAAAGGCAGGATCAACCAAACTAGTCGTAAAGCAAAATGAGATGGTGAGACTGGGTTATTCCTCAGCACAACAAATGAGACTGACAAATGGCAGAGACAGGGTATAAAGCAAGGCTTGCCACGTGCCTGTGCACCGCGTGCTCCTTGATGGTTTATCGCAGCATTTTTACATGGAGAATAAACAGATAGACGTGGGATTGAATAGTGAATATGACTCCTGACAGCCTGTATGTAGTTATTAATGACAGGAAATAAGAATTGCTGATGTGGAGGCGACCCCTAATCCACCTGGCTCAGTTCCCTTCCCTACTGATCCAGACCAGGCACTCAGAAAGAAGCGTAAGAAATCACACTGGAAGCTATCAAAGTCAGTTTCTTAGTGGCTGGTGGGTTTATATAGCTTTAAAAATTCTTTTCTATTTCTACCCCTTATTATTGCAGTGCTAGGTAATCTTGTTTTCCTTAGAAATGTCCACTCTTTTTCCAATAAGCTCCTAGTTGCATGCTCTTTTCTGCATTTCTCAGTAGGCATTCCCATAGCCCTCATTACCGTGGCATCCTTAATGCATTTCTCCTCAGAGTTATCCTCTGAGGAAGAGCAGAGCTGCTTTTCATCCCCTTGTGCTGATGGGAAACCCAAGCCCGGCCCGCACGGATGCCTCTGTGTGCAGCTGGGAAAGTCAGCCGAGAGGGGAACTTCCCAAAAAGCCAGCAAGGTGCCTGGGAAGCGCCATGTCCTCAGAGAGGTGCCTCTTGGTGAGTCCCACAGTGAGCTCTTGATGTTAGGGAGGCGTTGATGTCTCTGTCCCCTTGGGCTAGGGCTCACAGCTCTGCTCCCTGGGGCAGCCCTGGGCTGGGGCGGTTCTTCGTCCTGTGCCTGGGTCCCAGACCCTAGCTCATCACTGGCAGCGTAGAAAGAACAGGTCGCACCCGGGAGGGGCTGAGCCTGCATGTGTCATGCCCTCAATCAGAAATTATCCTGGGGTGAGGACACCTGCAGCACCCTCTTGCAACTGTGCCACTTTGCATGGAATAGCAATGCATTTCTCGGGAACTCTCTGGAGGAGCGAAGACATGGGTCCCAAACCCTCCTCTACGGAGAAATTATTACAAAAAACACCGAGCAGAAGATGTCCCACACTACCAGTAACAATGACAATGTCCAGTTGTTTCATTGTCTTACAAAACCCTTGACAAAATGCAGGAAAACACTTCAATTCTCATGGTCACCTCCTTCTTTGTACCACCTCTTTCAAACCCATTATAAACCCCCAAAATGTGTATGGTTTCAGAACCCAATTGTGCCCTTTCCCTTGTCATGTAAAGAAACAGCCAGCCACGTACTGCCATCATTCACAGCAGTGTATTTGGGGAGCGGAGGACATCCCTGGGCACAAGGAGTCCCTTCGTCATCACCAGAGGACTACCAAGAGCTGAGGGCTGGCCAGCCTGACCATGGTGTTTGCTCCCTTGGCACCCATCACTGGTCTCATGTGAGCAGCTTCAGCTGCTCCCAGCGTGATTGCCTCCTGGTTTGACTCATTCCTGGCTGCTCTTCATTGGTCTCAAAATCAGCTGAATAGAGAAAGTGATTTTCACAGTGCAAAACAACTGGAGGAAAATGTGCTTTTCCTCCTAAGCCCTGAAGTGTCGTTCTGCACATTGAACACACCGTTGGGTGGAAAGTGGTAGGAAAGTGGTGACATTTTAAAGAAGATAAGCAGGGTGAGCTAAGCAATCACAGCCCATCATCCTGACAGAAATCCTGCCAAAATAATGAAGATCTCATTCAATTAATATAATATTATAATAAATAATTGATGCTAAACAACATCAATTCTCATGATGTGTTTAGGGAAACACATCAAACTAACTACATATTTTCTGAGGAGAGTACTAGTTTGGTAAATAGATGTATTAGATCTGGTCTGATAACTTCAGACTTTGGTTTGACACTTGACTTAATTCCACATGATGTTGGGGTTATAAAACTATAAAGCTACACAGTAAGCGTGGCACACATAAATTGAGTTAAAAGCTAGAGAACTGGGATGTCTCAAAATCTAACTATAAATGGAAAGTCACTGCTGAGAGAATTTGGTTTTTAACAATGACTCCCCCCTTCCCCCTAAAATAGGGTGATGGATACTGGTAGAGTTTGTACATGACTCAGGAATGTACTCCATTACAAGTGGAGACTAAGCATGTTTAGATTAGAAATAGGGTAATTATTATCATTAAGGGTAATTATCCATTATAATAGTCTACCAGCTCTGGTGGAGTATTTAACTGAAAAATTTTGTTTAAGGTAGACTTTTCATTTTCCTAAAAGAACTCTAAATTCAGCTAAAGAGACTGGACTCAGAATAAGAATTAAGTAAAGAAAATGCTCTGTCTCTGGAAAGTCCACATGACCACAATGCCTTTTTTCTCTTGGCCTTAAAATTTATGAAGTACAAATGTTGGTTAGGTTTACTCTTAGAGGGCCAACACCTTCTCCTATCCCCAACAGTACCAGGCCTAAATAAATACAATGAATAAACAGACCCATTGGAGATCTGCAGTGGGTGGCTGGATCCAACTTACCGAAAACAAATTAATGAAAAAGTACTTTTAGAGCAAAGGCATCCTGCAAACTATTTCAGCACCACAAAAATCTTACACACTTGCTTTCTTTGACTAAATTTGTTTTGAAGGCTCAGCATAAAGACACAGCTCCAGTTCTAATGTTAGCAGGTATTTGTACACACATGGCTCTAGCCAGAAATGTGCATACCAGGAAAGATTAGCTCAGCTACAGAGGGTTTCCCTCAATGTCCAGGCACAAAAATAGAGGTTGTGTCACTGGAAAGGAAGTTTCCATAAAATTACAAAGAAGTCTCTGATTTCTTTTTAGCAAATCTCAGAGTGGGTCACTCTCAAAATTGTCCTGAGCTACTAAAACCAGAAAACAGTGATGAAGCTGTCTTAATCTTCTGGATTAAGCATTACATCGTTTTGTGTATGTTATAAAAGC